CCTTTTTTGGTAAGATCGACCTTCTTCATGCACTTTCATACGAAATGAAATTCCCCCAACAATGTTATCTCAGGAGATTCATCGAAACCCAGTTTCTCTTCGTATCAATAACCTCAAATCTCAACTTTTATCAATCAGCCACCTAAAAACAAATTTTAAAAAGATAACTGTGGAAAGAATATGGAATACTATCTTCAAGAAAAGATTATAATGAGTTACAACCAAGTAAAAAAAGTACGATAAAGTAAGGAAAGTAATTGGCTTTAATTTTAAAAATAAGTTCAAGTGGATATCTCTGTTTTTTTCCGTTTTATTATAACTTGATCCAGCCCTTCGTAACCGTCCACGGAAGTACATATACTTCGTGCCTTAGCGACTGAAACATCTGGCTGAGTTAGTTGAAAGTGTATTTTGAACTCAATGCAATACATATCCTTGTATGGTGCCACATTGCGGACGAATCGAAATTCCCAGTTGGAAATCCTCAATTTCTGGCCTGGGCAGCCAAAAGTGGATTTGCTGTTGGAATCAGAGAGCCCAAGAGCCCGGTCAACTCGCTTACGAACAGATGTTTCATCTTCCTGATTTCGCCGAATAAAGCAATAACACCGTACGTTGATCGGACTCGACTCAGACATCATAGATTCTCCCTCTGGAAGAATTTTTTTTGGGGTAGGAATTGCAAATGCATCTAGAAAGTCGATGGCTATTTCGGGAAGGTTCATAATACAGAAGAATTGGGTAGAATGAATAATATTAAACCTAGAAAGTATTTCAGCCTTCTCTTCCTTGGAAGATTCATTTTCAGATGCGAAAGTTGCAAGACCATCGTGCTGAGAGGCCCAAAAATCTGGTAACATAACCTAAGAAGAAGCGAATGAATTAATAATGAAAATGATAGACTAACCTATATCAAAAAATGAAAAAATAAAGCTTGTGGAGATTTAAAGGTGTTAACACGTCTTTTTCTAGATATTAAATTAGGTTGATTTTTTTACATTATGGATACAGCAGATGGCTTAGCTAAAATGATAGAAAAATATAGAGGTTCCGTCAAAATGGAAAACAAAGAAATTTTGGTTTTATGATAATCCCAAAAGATAAAAGAAATAAAATACTAAGAAGAAGAATACTAGGTGGAATAAAGGAAAGGCCGTTAATTTATCCAATACATCTCTAGAGAGTGATGACGAATTTGTCTTGTAAACAGCTTTGAATTTCACTTTTATTTTATTGATATAGATGTTGAAATATTTAACAGATAAATTACCAGAAGAGCAAAGGTTGAGATGATTTCTCGCTTTGCACAATTAATTAAAGTAGTCTTTGGATCTAAGTCGGTTCCCTAAACATACTAATGCCTTCAAATCATACAAAGAAGGAGCAATAGTTAGTATAGATAGATAAATTAGGAAGACATTACCACTACTTTTGAATAAAGATCCTATTGAAGGGCTTAAAACCAGGCTTAAATACGTTCTTAAGTTATACATAGAAAGCATAGTAATAAAAATGCGTAAAATGAATGCCTTTAACCAAGGAAATAGAGGACTCAAGGATTACGAATACTAAAAGAATTTCCTATTTTTAATAAACCTGTGAACAAAGAAGATAATTGCATAGAAAAACCATTGAAACAGGGAATCGAATATGCTTTTAAAATTATTATTGTATAGGCTCTGAGCTTGATTGAAAATAACATCATTTTAATAAGTCGTAAAAAAGGATAGATACTGTTTGGGGCGAGATGGGAAATATGGTATTGTTACACGCCCTGATGTTACATTAGTACCTTCTTACTAAAAATAGAAACGAACCTGTGAGAAGTATCAAAATAGTTCTTAAATAAAATTTTAAATAACTTATCATTAATTGTAACACTTTTAGGGGCAGTCTGACTCTTTGTAAAATCAGGCTGCTATAACATACTTTTCTAACGGGCCATTAGTTTGGTTAGACCGGTCATCCTGTTTACAAAAATCATCGGTAATAAAAGGATAACCTTTTGATCTGATTCCATTTCCAGTAAGAGTGCGTGATAAAGAAAATACGGAGGATTCCTCTCGGCCAGCTGCCGATTGGCTTTACTGGAACATTCATGTTGACGAGGCAAACTTCTCCCATTCCGTTAAAAACCTGTTAAGATTCCATCCGTCATATGACGGACATCATCAGAGCAGAACATCAATCTTACAACCAAATAAAAGCTAACAAGCCAATAGAACTCATAAATGCTGTAAAATACCCTAACCCTAAGCATTTTGATAAGTTGTAAAATTAATTTGATTAATTCAAATCATATATAAATCTGGAAACAGTCCATACTGGATAAGAATAACATTTTGAAGCAAAGTAATGCGAAATATAATAAAAATGCAAGGCCTACTTATACGACTGTGGGAAAATTGAACTGTTAGTCCTTTCTCACCTTAAACGAAATAGGGTTAATGCAGCCCTTACATTAAGTCTACTAGTAGTCTCGAAAATCTACTCCTGCAATGAATACCCTATATTTATGTTTTTTGATGAGATATATTTTAATTTGGTTAATTTAAGTTATATTCCAATCTCGAAGCCTAATGAAGGATTTATAGCCAGACTTACGGAATAGTTTGGTGTTTGTGTAAGCAAAGAATAAACTGAGAAGTCTAAATCAATTCACTTATTCAGTTGGACACCAGAGCACCTTCACCTTACAGCTGTCCAAAAACACACAGAGGCGGCATCTTTAAGAGTGATTGGCAATGATAAAGGAAATGGGATGCGTAGGACTTCACTATTCTTGTAAATACAATTAAGGAAGGTGGCTAAATATAGGAAATATTAAGTAAAGAATGCATGTAATTTTTTTAGATTGGTAGATCAGTGGAGTATCAAAAAAGGAGCATCCCAGTTCAGAAGGCACTAATCCGCAGCCTAGACGAACCCCTAGATAATATTGAGAGTAAATCTGGACAAAAACTCAATCTTAACACTACTCAACCTATGCACGATTAGTAATTGTGCAAGTACTGATGATGAGATCTTGTCTGGCTCCCAGTTTAGCGAATGAAGAATAGAGGAACGCTTCATGGAAGAGGTAAGATGTACATTAAAACAATAGTTATATACATCGATGATTATTTTACAATTAGGTAAGGATAGATTAGATAATTTAGTATTCTTACTTAAAGCGAGGGATAGTAATATTAAGTTCCCAGTGAAGATAGAGAAGGACAATTGCTTACCATTTTTGTAGGTTTTAGTGATTATAGCAAGAGAATTTAAGCAGGGATCTATATAGGAAGCCTAAAAAGCTGGCTCTTTATTTAATTTCTTCTGCAATAATATTAATAAAAAAGGTTGATAAATTAAAATCTATGGTTATACTCAGCATAAGATTAACTGATAGAGATCATTGTGATGAGCTAA